TTCTTTTGTTCTCAGGGTGGAGCGGGTTTTGAGGGAGAAAAGATGGATTTTTGCTGATTAAAATATATGTATACATATATAGATAGAGATAGAGATATTTTAAATTGAGTCAAACATAATAAGATGAACTTAAGTAGCAACAAATATAAATCCTTATACTTTGGTTCAATAGATTAATTTCATAAGTACAAGATGGGGAATACATGGTTAGATGGCTCTGAAAAAGATCTGGGGCTTTTATTGGATTGCAAGCTCAATTAATCAACTATGAGAAATTACAGCCCCAAAAACTAATATGATCTTGGGCTATTTTAAGAGAGGCATGTCTTTCAGGAAGAGGGAATATGTTCCACCTCTCATTTCCATGCCTTTTCACTGCCTATCAGAATGTTCTTTGTCCTCACTTTTGCCTCACAGAATTCTTTATTCCCTTCAAGGCTCATTCAAGCAAAATTGCTCTCCTCAGAGTTATCAGTGATCTGTTAATTGCCAAGTCTAATGGCTTTATTCAGCCTTCATCCTTTTGACATCTCAGTAGCCTTTGACACCAACAGCCATCCTCTTCTTGATAATTTCTTCTCTCTACGTTTCTGTGATGCTGCTGTATGCTGGTTCCCCTTCTTCCTATTTAACCTCTCCTCAGTCTCCTTTGCTAGATCTTTGTCCAGATCAGGCCCACTAATGGCAAGTGTACCACAGGGTTCTGTCCTGGGCTCCATTCTCTTTTTTCCTCTATATGGTTTTGTTTAATGATCTCATCAGCTCTCATAGATTTGTCATCTCTAAACTGATGATTCTGAGAACTATCTAGCCAGCTGTAACCTCTTTCCTCACCTCCTGTCTCATATCTCCAGCTCCTTATTGGGCATTTCAAGCTGGATGTCCTATAGACATCTTAAACTCAGTATGGCCAAAGCTGAACTCATTTCCTTTTCCTCCAAAACCACCCCCTCCTACACTTCTCTGTTATAGTTAGGGACACCACAATTCTCCCAGGCACCCAGGCTCCCAGCCTAGATGTTATCTTCAACTGCTCACTTGCTCACATTCTCCCACCATTTTAAAAATGTAAATTTTACTTTTGTATTATCTCTCATCTATACCTTCTTCTCCCCTCTAGACCGCCACCATCCTAGTGCAGGCCTTCATCACCTCATGCCTAGATTATTACAATACCTTGCTAGTTGGTCTTCTTGCCTCAAGCTTCTCCCCATTCAACTCTGTCCTCCACTCGGCTATCAAATTGATCTTCCTAAAGCACTGGTCTAACCTTGTTGTTCCTCCAATACTGCCCCATTCAATAAACTCCAGTGGCTTCCTCTCACATCCAGGATGAAGGATAAAATCTTCAGTCACTCAAAGCCCTTCTTAGCTTGACCCCTCCTACCTTTCTAGCCTGCATTCCACATCTTACCCACTCCACCTCCTCACCAGTGTATTTGGCAGTCTAGTGACACTGTTGTGTCCTTCTTTCTGTTGCTTGCACAAGGTTCTGTTTCTTTAGACACTGGTTGTCTGCCATGCCTGGAATGTCCTTCCTCCTCTTCTTCATCTCCTGACTTCCTTAGATTCCTTCAAATCTCTGCTAAATTCCTACCTCTACAAGAAGCCTTTCCATATCACTCTGAATGGTCATACCTTCCCTGTACTGATTGTCTTCATTTTATCCTATACCTATTGGTTTATACATAGTTGTTTTCATGGTGTTTCTCCCTTGAAAGCTAGGACTTTCTTCTTGACCTTCTTTGTATCTGTAGCATTTATCAGCACCAGATCTCCTGGCACGTAATGCCAGAGAATTGTGGTGTCCCTAACTGTAACAGAGAAGTATAGGAGGGGGTGGTTTTGGAAGGAAAGGAAATGAGTTCATATTTAATAAATACTTGTTGACTAAGCACCACCTTCTTCATGAAGCTGTTCCTGATTCCCCTTGCTGTTTGCAATCACCCTCTCAATACTTGTTGCTTATATTATATTATGTATTTGGTTGTATAAGTATGTTATCTCTCCCCTTATAATGTATACTCCAGATCATCAGCAGTCTCTTTCACTCTTCTTTCAGTATCCCCAGGGCCTAATACAGTGCCTGGCAAATTGTCAGCACTTAATAATTGCTCAGTGATTAGTTGATCATTTGGGAGGTGATCATCCAGCTATTCTCTGTCTTCATCAGACTGTATCTGCGGTGGTTATGTTCCCTTCTAGGGGCCATGATTTAAGGAAATTGATAAGCTAGAGAGTGTCCCCAGGAGAGCAGTCAGGATGGTGAAGGACCTTATATTCATTTTACATGAGGATCACTTGAAGGCCCTATGGGTGCTTAGTTTGAAGGAGAGAAGACTTAGATGAGAGATGTCATAGGTGCCTTTATATATATCTGAAGAGCTATTGTATGTACAAGAGATTAGACTTGTTCTGCTGGTCTGAAAAACAGTGAACAGAAATAGCAAAGATAAAAACTTAGACATCACATAATGAGAATCTTCCTAGCAATGATGGCTGCCCCAAAGTAGAAGGGGCTGCCTTGAGAGATGATGGGTTCCATGCCCTTGAGCATATCCAAGCAAAGACTAGATAACCACTTGTCAGGCATGTTATAATGGAGATTCCTTTCATCTATGTATTAGACTCAATGGTCACTCAGGGAATGTCCAAATTTCAAAATCTGTGATTCCTGTGATCCTGATAGTTCTGGCAGAGTAGTAGCTTTAGAAGCCTACTTGTAAGGGCTTGAGAGGTGTGTATGATAGCTTAAAAATGGAGTCAATGAGAATAATCAACTCTAGAAGCCTGGCCATGAAAAGGGAAATAGATATCAGAAATGATAGTTGATGGGATCAAAGGCACAAATAAAGGTGTTAGCCTGGACATCTTTTCCTCAAAGACTGAAGAAGAAAAGATGAAGGCAAGTGAAGATATATCAAGGTCTTGAGTTATAAAATAGTGGATATGGCCTTGATTTTTTCAATAGTCTTTTGAGTTAGGGATAGGATTTGGGAACAGGAGAGAAAAGAGGATTGGAACAGACACTATTGGAAGTTTGGTATTCAGGGAAGAATAAAAGAATTGCTGCACAGCAACGAAGACTCAGTTGAGATCAGATAACATGGATTTGTAGAGGGTCCAGTTGCATTTCCTCCAGTAGCATTCAGCATATGGATAGAGTGAACCTCAAAGGAGGTGATGCCAGAAGAAAAGGAAGAGAGAGCTGTCCACTAACAGTGGGGATCAGGGAATAGGCTGACTATTCCTTCTGGAGTATGTGTGTGTATTGGGGCAAAGAGCATGGGAGAAGGAAAAATGAACACTGACGAGGATGGCCAAGGATGAAGTGTCTACTGGAGAGCTAGTTTTGTGTTAGGGTCACAAGAAAGAATGAAGATGAGATGATGGGAAATATGTTCAATTCTTTGGGCTTTGTTATGCTCACTGGTAAAATGAGGAGTGGTTGGACTAGATCAGCCCAAAAGCGTCTTCCAGGTTTGAGGTTCGTTGATTCCTCTCTCACATATCATTCTCCTGTGCTCCAGAAGCCAAAGTATTGCTGTTTACTGAGTGGCCTCCAGTGGTATTATAAGCCACAGGCCTATGAGGAAATGCAGAACTCTTAGAGGGCTTGCCTGGTAAACCCAATCCCATCTCTAGAATCTTCCATTTGAACCACAAACTCTTTGACAGCTGAAACTGTTTCTTCATATTTCTCATCCTGCCAAAGCATAAAGTAGGTATTCAGGAAATGTTGTTGACCGTATCACATTTTGATCTTGATTTCTCCTTGACATTCTGCCCTCTATGTTCTCTATGTTGCCTAATTGAATAGAGGGAGAAAAATTGAGCAAGTGGTCCCCATTTTCTGGAAGTCTTCTTCATCATTCTTCTGGGCACTGATAATAATGGTGCTCACACAGAGCGCAATTAGCGCTCAATTGAGCAATTGCTCAATTGAGCAATTGAATGAATAAGCTAATTTCTCATCCCTTTCATCCTAAAGGGAAAACCATAGGAGGCAGGATGACATAGCAGAAAATAATGCTGTATCTGGAATTGAGAGAAATGTGGGTTCAAATCCCACCTCCAACACTAAGTAACTATGGGCAAGTCACAACCCCTCTGAGCCTCAGTTTCTTCAACTGTAAAGTGGGGATAATAATATGAAGCAACTAGGTGGTGCAGTGAAAAGAGCACAGGACCTGAGGTCAAGAAAACCTGAGTTCAAATCTGGCTTTAGATGTTCACTAGCTATATAACCCTGGACAAGTCACTTATCCTCTCTAGGCCTCAGTTTCCACATTTACAAAATGGGAATAAAAATGGCACCTACCTTCAAGGGTAAAATGAGATAGTATTTGCAAAGTACTATGCAAATCTTAAAGTGCTATGTAAATGCTAGCTAATAATAATTACATTATTATTAAAGTATCATTATAATAATATAGGTTGTTGTAAGGATCACATGAGAATAAATATAAAGTGCTTTGAAAACTTTTAAGTGCTATATAAATGCCAGATATTGTTATTACAGATACATTAAGACCTTCTATTTACTCATTATCAAAGTTATCTTCCTCCAGCATATAAACCTAGGTAGCCTGTTTAATAGTCTTCTTCTGGTCCCCGCCTCCCAAAATAATACCGAGTTATTGCCTTTGTTTTTCAAATGGTAAATATGGGCAAGATCTCAGGTTTTAATTACATCTGAAGGATAGATTTTATGAATTGTACTGTATTGATATCTATCACGTTCTCTTTCCAAGTGTCTTTGATTTACAGTTCAAAAAATGCATTCTTCTCATGACTTGCTTAAACATGCAGTAAATGTGCATCGGGGATTTTACAGTAACAATACAGTCTGTAAGAATAGATGGACTGCCTTGGAGATTTTTTTTCTTCTTCTCTTTCTCCGTCTCTCTTCCCCTTTTGGCAGGAAAGGAAAAAATTTCATCTACACCAGCTAATTTATGTGTCTCCAATTAATGACTGACCTGTTCTCTTCCTTTCAGCCCTGGGCCAGGAGGCACAAATTGCTGGGGAGCAAGTGTGGAGCATACTGTTTGTGAAAACTTACCCTGCCCTAAGGGAGTGCCTAGCTTCAGGGATCAACAGTGTCAGTCCCATGACCGATACAACTACAAGAAGAAGGGTCCTCTGACAGCTGTCATTATTGATGGTAAATGGATTAGCTTCACTTGCAATGTGTAACTACCTCCTTGCTTTCTTCCCTCTCATCCTCCAGTCTCTCTATGAAAGGTGAAAGAGAAACCCACCCTGGATGTGAGCGTCAGGAGGCATTACCACCTCTGCTTTCTCATTAGCCTACATAAGGAGTGGTATTAATTAGCTTCAGGGACTCATACCATCTGATAGCCTCATAATTTTCTAAACCCATGCGTGGACAAATAGGAGGTTACCCAAGTGCATCCCTCTCATCTTCCTATCCTGATCCAAATCACCAGATGGCCTGACTTCTTTCCGAGCTGCATTAAGGAAAATTATACTCATGGTGACATTACTCACATCTTTCTCTGTTCCTTTTCTTATTGTTTTGGTATTTTTCTGTCCTTTTAAAACAAAAGCACCCCCCACACGCACACACACAAAATCAGTTTGGGTTTAATTTTACCTACTGGAAAAATGGAGAAAGTTTTGAAAATAATTTATAGGTTTGGAAAGATAACTTCAAAACACATTCCCTTTCCATGTTATTCCATGATCGTTGTCCTAAATTAGGAAAATCTCTCCCCAAAAGGGAATTTTAAGAGATACAGAATAATATAGTGGAAAGAGTGCTGGATTTGGGGTCAAGGACTCACATGAAAATCCTGGCATTGCCACTTACCATCTTGGGCAAGTCAGTTAAAATTTTGGCCCTCACTTTACTCATCTGTAAAATGAGGATGTTGGACCTAGGTCTTTTCCAAGTTTAAATCTACCATTCTATAAATTCCCAATGTTGAAGAAATCCCAGAAGTACAATTTAAAAATATAGCCTCTATATAATAGACATGAGGGAAAAGAGGACCTTAGTAAGGCTATCAATTGGAATTATGTCTTTTTCTACTTACCTATAAATAAAACTTTGTATAAGTATAATGTAATCTGGAAAAAAATAAACAAAACAGTTACGATTTCTAAAATTCCAGAAAAAGGAGATAAACTTGATTTGACTTGTAAAGGATGAGAGAGCCTAAAAAATTAAAACCCTATTTTAAATCAACACATAAAATATCTAGTAGGAAAATGAGGCACTCATGTGGGCCAAAGCCTAGATTCCTCATTTATTATGACCAGCATTTATTCTGATATCTCAAGATAGAACCTCTGAGCTATACATTCCCCATTACTTAAACTATAAGATCAATTGAGCACAACTAAGTGAGGATATGACCAGGCATCATTTTAGGCCTAATGGACTTCGCTAAACAGCTTCTAATCCAAAAACATGACTTTTCAGCTATGGTTTGATGTGGAGGAGATAATGCCAAACTATTTCTGGCATTCTAAATGGTAGCAGATGACTCAAAGCAATTCTACTGTGGTTTAGTTTAAAAGTACCAGGTAATTATCCAGTCACTTTACTTTAAAAAAAAATAAAAAGTACTTTTTTGTAGCTGGAATCTGTGTAAGTCTAGTTGCATTGTCATATAACAGACTTTCAAAGTTGAAGAGCTTGCCGCCACCACCCCCCACCCCTACCCTTTTCCTTCAAACACATACAACCTTGTCAGAATGGAAAAGGGAGAGACAGGGTCTGGTAGAGAAAGGAATGCTTATAGCTTTAGGCACCAGCAGTCAAAAAATGAGACCTTACCTCTTTTCTGGCTGGCCATTAATCTGACACAGGAGGAGACAGGAAGACTTCCAGATGTCCCAGTAGAATCCAAACCTCTAATCAGCAGGGAGATAACAAATACTATAGCTTTCTTTTTTTTTTAAGATTTTTTTTTTTAGGTTTTTTTCTCTGCTCAGTGGCTGATTCTGATGAGAAGCTGCATTGTTCCAGAATCTTCAGTAAGCTGTGGCCCTTAAGATAAAGATTTTGGAATCCCTTTTATGTCTGCTCCCATTTTGTTTCAGCAGAAGGCCATGCTGTAACAGAGGCTGGCTAGGCTATTTCATAAAATGATAGACATATATTAGTGGTTCTGTCCTTGAATGTTTGTTTTGCTTCCAAAATTCCCTTTTTTGTACTTGTTTTCAAATGTAGAAATCCTGTCTAAATCAGTGTTTCCCCGTGCCTCTCTCTTCAAGTATAAGTTAGTTTTCTCTGTAACTTTTTAACTCTTCCTGTAAATTAAACTACTTATTTACCTAATCATTACAACTTCTTCATTCTTACTCATCATCGTTATAAAAAGTTTACTGAAGGCAATTTTTTGACAGTTACTTAATCACACTCCTTAACTTACTAGGTTCACTATTTGCTTTTGCCCACTTTTTTTTAATGACTTTTTTGCTGATTACAATAAGAATTCAAACACCTTGCTTTGAAGGCCTCTGAATAGCATCTTGAAGAAATCCCTGTATTGTTAAATCATTCTTGATAATGGTAATAAAGTTAAAAAGATTCTTGCTTTGGAGGAAAAAGCTTGAGAATTTTTCAAGGACAGCTTCACCAGTCTTTTTTTGTTGGTGTTATCGTGGTTTCTTACATATTTGATTTTACTTGAGTTTCAAAAGGAATCAGAGGTCAGCATTTAAAAAAAAAAAAAGAAGAGTATTTCGTGATTTAAGAAAACAAAATAATAAATGCCCAATTCAGAGGGAAACTGCATATTACAGAAATGAAACTCTGTTCTTCTGAAACTTCCATTTATAAAAAGGCACAGTTACAGTGGAACTCCTGATATGTGATTCCTGTGGTCTGACTCTTGACTCCATTGAAATCCATTATAACTGCCCTATTCATAGTGGCATCGCCATCACTGGTGAATTCCTTGGCTCCAGACACACATTACAAGGAAGGAAAGACTTATTTTTTTTTCTTTTTCCTTTAAAAAATTATTGCAGAAATAGATTTTCCAAAGGAGAGCTTGGGACCACAAATTAATAACACCCGCTCCCCCCAAGAAGACAAAAGTTTCCCTTAGAAAATAGTGCTAAATAGAAAAGTATTCAGATAGCAACCTATTTGTACAGCCAGTTGCCAAGCCCACCCAATTTCTCCTTTCCCTATTAAGTCTTTCAAGAATTTAGTCCTCCTCCTCCTTCCTTTCTCTCTCTTTCTCTCTCTCTCTTCCCACCCATTCTCTCCCCCTCTCTCTCTTCTCCCTGTCTTTCTCTCCTTTCCCTCCCTCCCCCTCCCTCTTTTCCCTCCCTTCTTCCCTCCCTCCCTTTCTCTCTTTCTTCAGTGAGCTCTTATAGTAACCTGGCAATGAGAGATCATGGAACTACTTCTCAATAGCCATCTTCCTTTCCACTGGAACTGGCCTAACTATCTCCATAGGGGATATCCCCTATCCTAAGTGTGCATCCTGAAAATAGGCATTAAAACAGATCAAGGGAACTATCTTTGAAAGTATATTAATTTCATCCTGCATTTGTAAGGTCATTTCACACAACTCACATGCCAATCCTTTGCTCAGCTTTTTAAAAGGCAAGTCGCACTTCTCCTGAGAGAGAATTCCATAGCTACAAAAGGAAATCGAAGACTCTGGAACTGTTCTAAGTTAGGACTCAGCTCTATCTAGCCTCCATGGGAGCCATTAATGAGAATATCATTTGTAGAAGAAATTGAATGAAAATAAGAATAAAACAGGAAGAGAGCTATGTCGCCAGTAATATACAGTCACCATATGCCATGGTGTCATAGCTGTATAGAGCATTTAGAGGATTTTAGAGAGATCTCATTTCTTCTGGGGTCCTTACATGACATCATAAAATTTCAGTGTTGGAAGGAACCTCTGAGATCACCTAGTCTACCTCATACTGAAAAAAAAATTTCAATTACAATATACTTGGCAAATAGTCATCCAACCTTTGCTTGAAGACCTCTAGTGGAGGGAAGGTCACTATCTTCTGAAGCAGACCATTCTACTTAGAAAACTCTCATTGGTAGAAAGTTTTTCCTGAAATGAAACCTAAATTTGCCTCCTTGTATCTTCCAACTATTTGTTGTTATTGTTGTTGCTGTTCTACTATAATGGGACTAAAAGAACAAATATAATTCCTTTTCTACATGATGGACCTTCATATGCTAGAAATAGCCATGCTTCCTTCATCTGATCTTCATTTGACATGAATTCAAGGCCATCCTTGTCATCTTCTGCTTGGCACTTTCACATTTATTACTTTCCTTCCTAAATTGTGGCATTTAGAACTGAGTATGGTACTCTAGATGTGGTCTGATCAACAGGGAGTATAGTGGGACTGTGACCTCCTTATTCCCAGGCACCATTATTAGCTTTCTTGACTGCAATCACTGTTGACTCACATTGAGCTTACAGTTCACCAAAATTCCCCAATCTTTTTCATGTGAAATTCTGTCTAGCTCTATCCCCCATGCTTTATACTAGTGAAGTTCATTTTTAACCCAAATAAGATATTACATCTATTCCTATTAAATTCCATTTTATTTCATTCATTTTAATGTTCTAGTCTATCAGATATTTTTGAATCCTGACCTCATAATCTAACATGTGACTATCCCTCCCAACCTGAGTTCATTGACAACTTAGATCAACACACCATCTATGTATCTTTATCTTAGTCACTAATAAAAATGTCACACTACATAGTACCAAAGAGATCTACTCCACTGGAGACTTGAAAACCTCCAAAGTGACACTTGATCATTAATGACTTCTGTTTGAATATAACTTAATTACACTATCATTTAGTCAATATCTTTCCAGCATTTCACACACATATGTATTGAATAGCATGTCATGTAGCTTATACTCTATATCATATTTATGATACATTATAATATTTTTCATTATTTATGTGTATGTGCATATGTGTATATAAATACACATATATACATATGCACATATACATATACATATGTATATATGAAAAGGCAGCACAATGTAGGCATGATAGTGCAATGGATAGATAACCAGGAAAGAAGTGGGGATATGGGCACAGGAGAAGGGCAGAGGGCAAGAGGTCCAGATTGCTGAAGAGAATGGCTTGATGAGATGTGAAGCATGATCTGTTCCAGTACCT